AAATATTTTTTCCAATAGTCACAGCAATGCATCGAGGAAGGCACACGGACACGTGCGGCTTCCCTCTCTTCAGCTCACAGACATGCGGGCCTGGACCCCGGCCTCGGCCTCGGGAGTGCGGACATGCTCACAGAGCCAACCCCACCTGGGGAGGCTTTCCAGCTAAGCGGCGGCCGTCTTCACTAACGGAATGAAATCAACTCGTGTTTTGTTTGAGGGTTGATACCATCCAAAGAGGAACAGATAGTCTAGGGCTCTGCCACGCTCTGCATCATGCTATGGATGCCCTGCATCATGTATGGCTTCTGCCTGGAAGGCCTTTTCCTCTTCCTCTCACCACCACTCGCCTGTCATTGGTCAGGCACTGACTCCTCCCTGACCTGCTCTGGCTGCTCCTCCCTCACCTTCCTGCACTGTCCCTGGAGTTGGGTGGTAGGTGTGGTTTATCCCTTCACCTCCGGCATCCCCCCAGGTCTGTCACCTGGCAGGTGCTCAGTATCCCGTGAAGGCAGGGATGAAGGAACAGAGGGAGGAAGGGGGAAAGGACCTATCTTTTTTCTCCCCGGCCCACCACCCCACTTCCAACTCAGGAACTGATTCATTTGCCAAGCATAAAAGCTAAATTTAGGCTCACTCTTAGAGGAATTTACACCCAGGGTGTCTTAGAGTTTTAGCTTCGATTTTAGAATCCTGACACCCTTTCTTGGCAGGAAGTCTGGAAACCAGGCCACTGACAGCCTCAGCTGCAGAAACACCTAACGCCTTAGAAAAAAACACAACCCCCCACAAACACCAAAGAGATGGCTGAAGCTCTTAAAAATCATAAAATAAAGCCCAAAAGCCCAAAATAGGACTTGAGGCAGCACTTGCCAAGATGAGAGATTTTAGAGGCTCCATGACGTTGGGGATGAAGAATTGCCTGGGCACCCAGCCTTGCCCTGGCAGATGGGTTGTTGGGGCTGCAGGGCCCACTGTATGGGGTGGATGGGGGGGCGGGGGAAGAGGATGGAGCTCACCGAGGATTCTTCGGCTTCACATCGCTTCTCAGGAGCCCTGGGGTCGGAGTGGATGGTGAGCTGCTGTATGGAGCCCTGGGGAAAAGCAGAGAGGTCAGAAGCCACCGCTTGCACGTTTATAGTACAACCATCAGTGGAAACATGATTGTTTTTGTAACGGAGAAGAACCAGTGACAGGGTAGTATTGGCCGTGACAAGTAAACCAAGCCACCCCTAGGCCCGTGCTCATTTATGGGGGGGGGGGGTGTCTTTGCTTGAGCCAATGTAATTTGAGCCCCACTGTCTGGAGAGCCCCTCGGGGAGTACTGTGTTCAAAGCACAGACTCACACGGCGGCCTCCTAGCTGCTCCCAGGTCTCCAACTTGTCAGGGGCAGCCCCTACATGCAGTCTCCCTCTCCAGACGGGTCTTTCCCCTGCGGCCGGATGCTTCTCGGCTGGAAGCCTCGCCCCAAGAAGAGCTGCCAGCCCGCCTCCCTCCCTCCACACTTTCCTCCTCTCCCCACGCCCGACACCTCATTCTCCACAACCCACCCAGAGCGAGGGTTTAAAAGTTGTTCACTGGATTTTCACTTCTTAAAAATCTCAGTCTTCCAGCACACCACAGGTAAACCCAAACTCCACCCCACAGTCCTGTCTCACATCAGTAAGCCCAAAGTCAGTCCACGGGCTGCCTAAATAACGTAGGGTTTTCTTTAGAATGGCTTGTTCATTATAGCCCATTCTGACGGTAAAGTCAGTTTTCTGACATTTTTTCAGGGCACACTGTCCAAAAGGAGAGAGAGAAGCTCTCTCCCTCAGGCATTCCAGCTTGTGGCACCCTCTGCAGAAATCACTGCATCGGCCACTCTCCAAAGACACACACCACCGAAGGCTCTAGCAAACCCTCCTCTTCTTATAAATGAACCAAGTGCCATCTCAGTTGACTCTACCACCCCATGACGTAGGGTGTCTTCTCCCCACTTCCAGATAAGAGAACACAAAGAGGTTCGGGGGACCCACGTCTAACCCCATGATCGGCAAACTGCGGCTCTCGAGCCACATGCGGCTCTTTGGCCCCTTGAGTGTGGCTCTTCCTAAGCCTTAGGAGTACCCTAATTAAGTTAATAAAAATGTACCTACCTATATAGTTTAAGTTTAAAAAATTTGGCTCTCAAAAGAAATTTCAAGCCCTAACCGGTTTGACTCAAGTGGTTAGAGCATTGGCCTGCGGACTCAAGGGTCCCAGGTTCGATTCTGCTCAAGGGCATTTACCTTGGTTGCGGGCACATCCCCAATAGGAGGTGTGCAGGAGGCAGCTGATCGATGTTTCTCTCTCATCGATGTGTCTAACTCTCTATCCCTTTCCCTTCCTCTCTGTAAAAAATCAATAAAATATATTTTTTAAAAAAAAGAAATTTCAGTCGTTGTACTGTTGATATTTGGCTCTGTTGACTAATGAGTTTGCCGACCACTGGGTTAGACTCTAACCCATCAGGATACACTGCAAACTCAGGACTGGGATCCAGGTATTGGGTTCCAGCCTAGCGTTTTTCCCACCGTGCATGCATGCCTCTTGGAGGACATAGGGATAAAATAATAACAAGCATATTCGCTCATGTTTGCTACACAGTGTCCAGCGGCCTCCCTGATGTGCAGGGCTTGGACTCACGATGAATTTCTCCAGCTTCCTGGCTCCTGCACTGCCCACGAAGAGCCCGGTCGTGGGCTCGAAAACCAAGGCCCGGGAGGACCGCTGGAAGGGGGCATGGCTGTGCTCCTCGCAGTCCACCAGGAGGATCACTTCCTCGCCCTCGACCATCACGGCAAATCGGTTCCACCTGTGGGTCATGGCGGGCACGGAGAAGGCGGCAGCCTCCCGGGACACGGCGGAGCCGGGCTCTGTGTAGTAGAGGATGACCCGCTGGTGGCCGTCCTCCACGGCCGAGAGCTGCAGGCCCAGGTGGATGACCTTCTGGTGGGTATCCATGATGGCAAAGAGCATGCCGCCTCGGTCGCTGCCGGGCTTCACGATGGCACTGATGGCAAAGTCCCGGAAGAAGGTGGGCGGGATGAGGACGCTGGCCGGGCGGCCCACGTTGGCGCCAGGCCCGAAGCTGTAGGCTGGGAAGCCACCATAGCCTGTGACGAAGGACACGGATGGGGACAGCGGGAGACCAATGATCTCCATGAGGTCCACGTGGGCCTGGGAAGCCGGTTCTGCAGGGAGGGAGAGAGAGGCCACATTTCACATATATGTTCAGCGATGCTTGGAACCGTAGAGGTCACCTGAGATGACCTCTACCGGAGGCGTGTTAACCTGCACCGTACAGTGTAACAGCCGTTAGCCACGTGTGGTCAGCGAGCTCCTGAAGGGTGGTTGCCCCCACTGAGAGGTCTCATCGTGTAAAATACCAATTTCCAGTACTTAGTTTAGACCAAGGAATGCAAAATACTTCATTAATAATGTTTACATGGGTTACATGTTGAAATGATAATGGGGGGAAATACTGGGTAAAAGAAATACATTTTTTAATTTCTTTAAAGAATAACATGAGAGCCGAAACCGGTTTGGCTCAGTGGATAGAGCGTCGGCCTGCGGACTGAAAGGTCCCAGGTTCGATTCCAGTCAAGGGCATGTACCTGGGTTGCGGGCACATCCCCAGTGGGAGATGTGCAGGAGGCAGCTGGTCGATGTTTCTCTCTCATCGATGTTTCTAACTCTCTATCTCTCTCCCTTCCTCTCTGTAAAAAATCAATAAAATATATTAAAAAAAAAAAAAAAAGAATAACATGAGAAACAAGCATGTGCTCTCCCCACGCCCCCCGACTTAAGAAAGAAAATACCAATTCAGCCGGAGCTCTCATGAACTCTCCAGTCCTCTCCCCCTGCCATGCCCAAGAGGCAGCCCCGGGGGGACGTGGAGTGCCCACCCACACGCAGACTCTACGTGTTCCTTAGGTGAGGACGTGTCTCTAACACAGTGTGGGACCACGGCACGTCTCTAAACCCCATGTACACGTTGGCAAGCCGCATGTACTCTTCTGGCACTTTTTTCTCTCACTGTATTTTTGAGGTTTGTCTTTGTTGATGAACAGGGCTGTGTGACTTATGTTTTAACGACAGTGCTCTACGGTGCAAAGAGCCATAATAGCTTTCCGTGGATGGAAAGTGGGGTTTCCATCATATGACAAACACTACTGCTATGGACTTTCTTAGACATGTCTCCTCGTGTGTGTTTGCCTGCACAGGTAATTCCACCATCTGGGGGTAGGATTATTGGGTGATAAGGGGATATACACTCACAACTTCACTGAATGTTGCTGAAATGTTCCCTGAAAGCCCTCACTGGTTGCTCAGTGGTTAGAGCGTTGGCTGCAGATTGATGGGTCCCGGGTTTGATTCCGGTCAGGGCACATACCTCGATTACAGGCTCATTCCCTGTTGGGGTGTGTGTGGGAGGCAACCAATTGATGCATCTCTCTTACATTCATGTTTCTCTCCCTCTCTCCCCGTCTCTCCCCCTCCCTTCCACTCTCTCTAAAAATCAATGGGTGGGAAAATATCCTGGGGTGAGGATTAAAACACAAATAAATAATAAATAAAATGTTCCCTGAAGCAACTGTGCCATCTTTTATTGAGACATAATTGACATATAGCATTGTGTATCTTTGAGGTGTATGTAATGTGTTGCTTTGACACACTTATGTAGTGCAATATGATTTCCACCTTAGCTTTAGCTAACACCTAGGTCAGTGGTCCTCAAACTACGGCCCGCAGGCCACATGCAAATACAAATATTGTATTTGTTCCCATTTTGTTTTTTTACTTCAAAATAAGATATGTGCAGTGTGCATAGGAATTTGTTCATAGTTTTTTTTTTAACTATAGTCCGGCCCTCCAACGGTCTGAGGGACAGTGAACTGGCCCCCTGTTTAAAAAGTTTGAGGACCCCTGACCTAGGCCATGTCAGGTAATCATCATTCCTTTTTTTGTGGTGAGAACGTTTAAGATGCCCCTGTACCGTTTTACATGCCCGCCAGCAGTGCGTTCTTGCCAACATGTAGGGGAGGCAGGGGGATGTGACTTGGGTGAGGCCCACAGGCTTTCCAACTCCAGAGATCACGTTGATTTCTTATTCCCCTCCAGTGCCTCATGCTGCTGCAGGTCCTCCTTCTACCTTGAATGCTGCCCCTCTGTCACCCACCCTACCCAGCCTCACCACTCAGTTATTTTGCCAGGATAACTCCTTTCCATCAAGACTCAGCCTGATCTCACCTCCCTTGAAATACCTTGTTTCACCTCCTACACCTACACCCCTCCTCCCCTTCCTGAGGCTGTATTAGATGCACACTGGGTCCTCCACCATAGCCCCCAGCACACTGCATTTCACTCTTGGGGGACGTGTCTCTCTCACCATTGGACCATGAAGACAAGGCCCACACCATTCATCTCTGTGTTCCCAGCACCCGGCCCAGTGCTGATGAATGAATGAATGAAGTCCAACCCGCTCCTTTTACAGAAGGTGTAAGTGAGGTTCAAAGAAGGAAGGGGTTTGCTGGCTACGAACTCAGATCCGATTCTCAACCCAAAGTTTTTTCTCTCCAGTTTGGAGCATACATTAAAACAGAGATTAACTAAAGTACGACAGACCTCAGAAGGCATAAATAAAATGATGGATGAATCTGGTTAAATTTAACGACATAGAAATTTTTAAAATTTCGGAGAGCAAAATAAAAATCCCCACAATGTAAAATAAAATCCCCAAATTGGACAAAAATATTTGCTACATATATTACAAACCACAAAGTAATTATCCAGATACACGAAGCCAACGAGTAAGCAGGAGGGCAACAACCCAAGAGAAAAATGGGCAAAGAATAAGAAATTCTTTCCACAGCAAAAGAAATAAAAATGGCTCCTAAACACAGGAAAAGACAGTCAACCTCACTCAGAATGAGAGAAACGTAAGTTACGACTACAAAGATATACCCTTTCTTTCTCTATCAGCTCGTGAAGATAGAATACTGGCTAACATGCGGAGTTGGCAAGGGCTGGAGGACACAGGCCATCTCATGCCATGCTGGGTTGGGGAGCGGGGGCGGGGGCGGGGGAGAAATTGGTGTAACATCTGTGGGAAGCACTTTGCCGATATTTATCCAAATCACAAGTGCACAGGTACTCTCCGATCCAGTAATGACACCCCTATGAATGTTTTAACAGATAAAGTTACATGAGTGCAATGTGAAGCATGATCAAGAATATTCATTGCAACATGGTTTGAAATGTATAGAAGTGTCCATCTTTGGGAACGGTTAAATAAATAACAAGTTTTTATTTATTTATCCCTACAATGAAATACAATGCAGCCTTTAAAAAGTTGTGATCCCAGCCCGGCTGGAGTGGCTCAGTGATTGAGCATCGACCCATGAACCAGGAGTCACGGTTTGATTCCAGGTCAGCGCCTGAGACTCTGTCCCCAATGTGGGGTAGGCAGGAGGCAGCTGATCAATGACCTCTCTCATCATTGATGTTCCTAAATCTCTCTCCCTCTCCCTTCTTCTCTAAAATAAAAATATATATATTTTTTAAAAAGATATGATTCCAGCTACGGGCAGGTGGCTCCGTTGGCTGGGGCATCGTCCCATACAATGAAAGGATGAGGGTTCGATTTCTAATCAGGGCACATACCCAGGTTGGGCTCTATCCCCAGTTGGGGAGTGTATGGGAAGCAACCAATCAATGTTTATCTCTCTCTCCCTTCCTCTCTCTCTAAAATCAATAAACATATCCTTGCCCTAACTGATTTGGCTCAGTGGATAGAGCGTCGGCCTGAGGACAGAAGGGTCCCAGGTTCGATTCCAGTCAAGGGCATGTACCTTGGTTGCGGGCACATCCCCAGTAGGAGGTGTGCAGGAGGCAACTGATCGATGTTTCTCTCTCATCGATGTTTCTAACTCTCTATCCCTCTTCCTTCCTCTCTGTAAAAAATCAATAAAATATATTAAAAAATAAACATATCCTTGGGTGAGGATTAAAAAGAAAAAGGTGTGATTCCTTAGTTATTAACATGAAACAATCCACAAGATGTATTAGGTAAACAAGGTACAGAATAGAATCACTATCAGACTTTTCTACTTGTACATGGTGTGAAAAATAAAGACATTGACATATTCTCAAAGATATTCACTCCTTCCATCCCCCTTTACACATTACAAAACCTTCTCTTCTTGCTTTTACTCACTCAGATATAGCCCATCTCTGTATAAGTGGGGGGGGGGGGGAGGGAGGATGGAGAGTGAAAAGAAATAGAAATAAAAGCAAACACCCCACTGAGATTTCTATTCTCCCTCCACAGTTTAAAGATAAAAGCAAAACAAAACCCGGAGCACCCTGCTGACAGCCCGCTTTCTCCTTCCTTTGGCCCGGTGAAAACTTTCTCTCCAGTTCCCCTCTCTCCCCCACTGAGAACAGGAGGGGGAGCTCCTCCGCAGGGCTGACCCGGGCTTGGGGGATGGGAGGTTCCACCAGGAGCAATGGGCCAGAGCCTCTCACGCGGTCATTTATTTGCAGGTGGCGTCCAGGGTGTCCCAGGGACAGGTGGGGGTTTAGGGGATCGGGGGCAGGGGCCGAAACATTCCCACCGGGACGCCTGCTTAAGCAATACAGCCCGGGCTTCCACGTGGCAATTCTGGGAATTCTTGGTCCCAGACAGATTCTGCTTTAAAAAAATAATCCCAAATCTACCCTGGTTTAACAGACAGGGAGACGGGGGTCAGGAAGAGCGCTCCATCACCAGGAGACGCAACCAGGAAGCAGCAGAGGGAGCATCTAAAGGATGGACAGAGGGAGGTGTGGTTCTGCCTGGGGGGACTTGCAGTCACAGGTCTCCTGAGCGGGTGCCCCTGCCGCCCAGGCCTGACTTGCTCGGGGAGACTTAGTGCGCAGGCACCAGCTGCAAGACCTTATTTCCACTGGGTCGGCCACAGAGGGAGCCCAGCCACGAATCTAGAGGAAGCCCAAGTCAGCACAGCCCTGCTCTCAGCAGCCCCACCTCCCTCCACACACATTGTCCCACGGCATTGTCCAGTGGCGGGGAGCAACCCCTGGCCTGGAGTGACCTGTGCTGAGGGCTGCACCTGGGCCTGCTGGCTCATTTACCCTTGGCCTCTGGCAGAAGGGCCACCTGCTCAGGCAGCCACCAGGGAGGGGAGGGGAG